AATGATTTGGAAGATGGGATCGAGTTCACATTTAACACATTTGTAGATGACACCAAGCTTGGTGGAGTTGCAGACAATCAGAAGAGCCGAGTATGTGGGGCCCTGAGGGCCCTGGCTCCCCTTGGGAAGAGGGCCGTCACCTGAAATATGTTAAACTTTCCACATATCCATTATCTTAGGTCCCCCTGGCAAAAATAAGTCTGTGCCTATGGCAGACATTTTGGAGATTATGAACTGAAACCAATCAAACAAAATTCAGTAAGGAGGGGTGTTAAATCTCACACTTGGGACAAATTGCACATGCAGATATAAACTGGGGAGGACTGGCTACACACATCAGTATTGCAGAAAAGGACCTGTGGGTTACAATGGATCATAAACTGAATCTGAGTCATCAGTGTGCTCTTGTTGCAAAAAAGTCAAATAGCATACTGGGCTGTACTGAAAGGATCATCATTTGTAAGGAAAGCAAGTCTTCTGCTCTGCAATTCAGCACTGGTGAGGCCTCATCTAGAGTACAATGTCCAATTTTTGGCACAATGCTTCAAAGAGGATGTGGACAGATTTGAAAAAGTCCAGTGGACAGCAGCAAAAATGACTAGAGGTCTGGAAAACTATTTACAAGGAAAGGCTAAATGAACTGGGATTATTTTGTCTGGAGAAGAGAAGACCAAGGGGTGAGGAGATGTGATAACTGTCTTCAATTGCACCTATTAGGAAGGCCAAGGCAGAGATGGAACTCAGGCTAGCGTCCAGGATTAAGGACAACAAAAAGTCCTTTTTCAAGTACATTGGGAGAAAGAATAGGGCACCAGGCAATACAGGGCCCCTGCAAGATGCAAACGGTAATCTTGTTGCTACGCCAGACAAGAAAGCTGATATTTTTAACAGTTTCTTTGCCTCTGTTTTCTTGAACAGGGACCGGGACATCCCACCTACCAGAGGTAGGAACAATCTCGGGGATAGCTCTGTCAGGCCTTCAGTCAGTGCAGATGTAGTTAGGGATCTTCTGGAAGAGCTAGACATTTTTAAATCTGCAGGTCCAGATGCCCTCCACCCAAGGGTGTTGAGGGAGCTGGCAGGGGTCATCGCGGAGCCCTTGGCCCGGCTGTATGAGCATTTGTGGTCATCTGGCCAGGTGCCAGGGGATTGGAACTGGCTAATGTGGTCCCAATTTTCAAGAAAGGGAGGAAGGAGGACTCACTTTGGTGCTCGGGAAGATCTTGGAAAGAATCATCAAGGAGCACATCGGTGGGGGGCCTGCAGAGGAGATCATGCTCAGGGGCAATCAGCATGGGTTCATCAAAGGCAGGTCCTGCCTGACCAACCTGATTGCCTTTTATGATCAAGTAACTAAATCCTTGGATGATGGTGTCGCTGTGGACATAGTCTTTCTAGAC